GGGGGTTTTTTGTTTGGTTTTTTTTTTTTGTTTGTTTTTTTTTTTTTTTTAAATCAAAGCTTCTCTCTTTAATATAACCTGACAATGTAACTTCAGTTTCTGGAACCCAACTGCTTTCAACAAGATTCTAACTCCCCACATTCAAAAAAGCCCTTGTGATTGTGAAAATGTAATTGAGCTGTATGAGCAGGGAAGCCAAATCTGTTTTGAAACCTTGGTTGCACACTCAGGGCTCTGAAACTCTGCCACAAAAACAGATAATTAGAAATGGCTGGTGAGGGGCTCTCAAATTACTTCTAAAAGTGGCTCCTTTGTTTTGCTATCAATTCTCTCTTTTATGCCTCAGTACCATTCCTGACAAAGAACCAAGCCAACCTGACTCTGTATGAGATATGACCAACACTGCCCTGTTTTACTTTGCAATATATTTGTTGGGTCTTTGCTCACTTGACTGAGGCTCTGTCTGCTGCATCTCTTGAACTTCAAATAAATAGAAACAAATGTAAAATGCATCTTCTAAAGCCTCAGCTAGACAACTCTATGCACTTCATTTTCTCAAACTACTTTGCTAAAATACAACTGCCCAAATTTTCAGTATAAATATAGGTATTTCTCTATAGATTTATTTTTCCTCCCTGGTTAAATATTGCTGATAGATTGAGCTATAATGACGTAGAGACTACTTCTTTGACATCCATGGACAAAGACTGCTGCAAGTACAAACATGGGAGGCACAACTCGGGTTAATGTTCTACAAAGCCTAAAAGTTGAAACAAAACAAATTTCTTGCAGGATTTGGATGGATGTGATGGGAAATTTCTGAATGTAAAATCATTAAGTGGGACATGGGCTCATGTTTGACAATAATGTAAGGCATGAAGATAGTGATTTGTAGCAGAGGAAAATTTGTACAGATTGTTCAGCTCTGAATCCTGTGTTCCCCCTGCTGCATAGAAAGTAAATAATCAGCGGAAGTGTTTGTGGGGAATCAATACTCATTTCCTCCCATCAAACCTTACCTCCCACTTGTCTTCTCCCACAGCCAAATTCATCTAGGATCTAGCGTCTTACAACACTCTTTTTCTCTTTTAAAAACGAGTCACTCCATTTTCCCACCTCTTTCTTCTGAGATACCATTCCTTGGGTATACCTTTTAAAACTATCAAAGAGGGATGTCGAAAGAACAGAAATGAGCCAGACAGATTTCATCACTGGAGCTACTTTGTGCAGTACTAAGTTCCTTCACGGCTCTCAAAATTCAGGACCTCTGCAGTATTACCCTTGCATTTATTTCATTAAGAAAGCCATACTCTTGCTCTGTTGATAGTCTTGTAAGTAGAAAAGAACCACTGAACCCTCTGCAGATTGAGGGCTTCCCTCACCTTCAGTCTGACAGAGCACCATCAGAGAATTGATAAGGGAAGCTAAGATTTAAGGAAGCTAAATAAAACTACCTTAGCTGTGGGACTACTCCACATGGAAGAAAACGAGGGAAAATAAGTATTCTAGACACTACTTCAGAGGTCAACTGCTCACCTGAAAAATGGCAGAGCTGGGACATGCTTCAGACCCCACTGGATTCACTGCGGAGAATTCTATTGTCTTAATTTGACTTTACAAGAAGCCACTGAACAGCATTACATTTACTGGGCAGCAGCATGATATAAGACTAACTTCTGAGATCTGTAGAGCACTGTAGTCCTCTTCAGCAGTTCTTTTGAATGACAATTTTTTAAAATACAAGTTGCTTTTCACAGCCTTATTGAAGTTCCTTTTTAGACAACAAAAGCGAAGCAAATAATTCTGTACAGTCTCTGAAGCACACAGTTTGTGTTTTAGTGTTTTCCCACTGTGCGTTCTGAGGACCACAGATGGCTGGGAATGGCACACATTGGAACAATTAGATCCACAGTTGTCATCAGGCAGTCAAGTGTGAGCTTTACCTTTCAGCACCTTATCTATTTCTGACACAGATCTCATCTGCAGAAGTGCTGTCAGCACTGCAAACTGCTTTTGTTGCTGTTGTAACAGTGAATTGTTTGCAACAAATAATGTAATTGCCAAATTTAACTTTTCTTCCTCTGAGAGGGCTGTCTATACCAGATGTCAGTGTCTTCAAATGGACTCCATAACACGTGTTTGGTTTTTATTCCACCTTTCTTATGATTTCTTACCTATAGTTTATCTATAAGCACGGCTGAGACAGAATTCCACGTGAGAATCAGTAAACCGAGTATTTGCCCACTTTTGGAGCCCTGTATGGCCTGTCACTCCACATTTATGCTTCACATTCACATAGCTCCATGTGAGTAGAATTGAGAAGAGTCTTGCCACCCAAATGTCATTTCATCATGACTTTTGTTAGCTGCCACTTCTTTAAATTCTCTACTTCCTTTGAATAGATGCCTCACTAATGAACATTCACAAAGTCAAAGAATGACTAGGCATCAGTCTAGGAGACAAGCCAGATCTCAGCCACAACCTTTTCTTAGTATGCCAGTGACCAGTTTAGACATTGCCCCTAGTCAGCAGGTTCTTGCAAACCTATTATTCAAGTGCACATTAATTGCATTCACAGCATAGGAAATGCTGGAGCATAACGTGGCTCTTTTGAAATCCACTCCCAGAACAAGGTGCTTCTTAGTCCAAGTGTTGTACTTCTCTTTGTTTATTTGTTTGTAGCCCGCCTAAAAGGGTAGAGCATAGGTGCAGAAGCATGCCCTCCAGCTTTATAACAGCCTGTATAATAGATGTGAATAGTGACAACCTGTGGGGATGCAGACACACAAAAAAAAATCTGCAAATCTTACTTGTGAGAAACCCTACAAACTTGGAAGCCAGAAAGCGAATAAAATATCAATTAAACTAATAACATGACTTTTGAGCAGTCAGGACCAGCAATTAGGTGAGAATGGAAGTTATTTGTAACTAAGTTGTCTGGAGAAGTCACTGGCTGTGACTTGATGCATCAGCTACAGTAAGTGCTGAAATGTTCTTCAGACTGTAACCTTTCCAACAAGTGATGAGATTTGGAGTTTAGTAAATATTTGTAGAACATAGCCGAGAGAGAGCTGTGAAAAGGCTGCAAAGATGTAAGTGTGAGTGTGATGGAAAGATTGAGGGCATGGTGTATTCAGATTCAAAAACAAATGACTTCAGTTCTGTCTGCTTCCCTTTCTATGATCACCCAAATATTACTCTGCTATTCTTACTGTATTTTCTCTTAGCTTATTTAGACAAGGTTTTATGGGTACAAAAACTGCTTTGGATGTCAAAAATCCCCAAACTGCTTCTAGAACTATATAATTGCATTGCTGTGAGAGCTTCAGTGTTTTTGTTGTCTGGGTATATAGATAAAAATCACCGTCGGTATTAACATGTACTGCAGGCATTATTGCTATAACCAGAGGCCTGTTTCATGCACCACAATGCTCTTCTGCAAGCTATATACTTTTTTTGTTCTGCAAGCAGAACAAAAATATACTCCCTGAACCACAAAGCCTATATCTACCCTCATATATAAAAAAAGAGAGAATGTAAGGCAGGACAGGTAATCTTTTTAATTTTCCGTTAGCTAAACAGAATTATTTTTTAGAAGCCTGTCTGGGTAGCGTCATTCTGATAAAGGATGTATAAAGATGAAGTGGCGAATCTGAATCTGCTCTTAGTAAACAATCCAGCATCCCATACGCATTTCAAAATTAACATTTGAGTGAAATTAGAAATAAAAGAATCCCAAGGATAACGTTCTTGGGAATTCTACCAAAAGAATGCTGCTCAGCTACATTTCTTTTTTTCCTGCTGTGTAGGATTTATATTCATGTTACAAAGCTTTGAGCAATACGTGCTTTTCACTTGGTAAGTCTAAGAGAAACTTCAGCCTTTTGCCTGAGCACTGGGCATGGGCCTAGATGTAACATCAAAACAGAACCAAGTGGAGTATTTGAACAAAATTTTTCAAGCCAAAAAAACGTTCCTGTTCTGCAGGATCATTCCCTGGTTGCACGAAGAGCTCTTGCTTTCTCAGTGTCAAACCCAATAGTGCGTACAGGCACTCGTCTAAAAGATGGTGTAGACTAAAGTTCCAGCTGCTCAATTCCCACCTGTGAATTACCTAAAGCTCGTGGCTACTCTAGGGTGTGACCACATCTTGGTGTCTCCTGTCGCAGTAGTTCAACTATGTACACTTAAATGGAAGCTGAGAGAGGGAGAAGCTGACTCTAGGTCAGTGCTGAAAACGCTCCTTTAAGGCATGAGAAAACAGCCGGGAGGAGCTGAACGCTGTACAGGACAAGCAGCGTATCAGCTCTGCAATCACTTTGCACTCACAGTTTGCTCAGGAATGTCTGCATCTGGGAAACCTTTCCAATGAAAGTTTAATTGCTGATACGAGCCTGCAAAATATTTAGATTTTGGAACTGCTTTCTCACAGAGGAGCCTTTCATGAAAAATTTGTAAGCACTTGCTTTACATGCACAGACTCTTCCCATGGATTTGGATGAGACACCAACATTTGGGCAAATATTATTAATACCTGAATCTTTGATTTGCCTGAACCCAAGAAGCAAGATGTAGAGCAGACTTCAAATCCTTCATGCATGCAAGCAACAAAATTCTGCGTAGCTCAGTATTTTGATACAGAAACTCCTACCCTAGGACCTAGATCTGGGGATTTTTTTCCATCTGTCTCCTGGGCTAATAGAATAAATATAAGTAACTTTCTGATGAGTATTATGAATACCAAATACTCAGATTTCATCTAACACTGGAACAAATGCTGGTAACATTCAATTGCTGGTAGCAAAAGGAGTAAACAATAAAAAGGCTTTTCTCATGAATTATTACTCAGAATTGTGCAGTGTTGTACTTACAAATGCTGAAGAAAGCAGTTCACTGCGGGCAGGAGATGCAGAGACAATGTAAGGAGAAAACAATGCCTTGCTTCAGTTTTGCTATTCATACTTCTCAGTGTATTCTCTAGTGTTTTAGCAAAGCTCTGAATCCGAGAGGCATTCATGGAAATGACAAATGTGAAGCAGGTGCTGCTACCAGTCATGTTGATTGCTTCACAGAATTTTTAAATAGGACTTTGCATTTGGTGTGCTAGTGCAAAAACTTAGTTTTGAGAGTAAGCATGCTCTGCAGTTAACGTATTTAGGCAAAGCGCCTCAAAGTAATGTGCCTCATTGTCAGGTTCCTGGCATGAAAGTCAGTTGCATGAAAGTCACTGAACCAAATCTCACCTAGAGATCAAATTGCCTGATGTAATACTAAAAAAGTCTCCCCTTCCTCAGCAGCACACTGGCTTTTTTTTTTTTTTTTAAAGCTTTCATGTTGTAATAAGCAATCTCCCCTTTAGATCTGCTAAGCAGCTGTTGCTTTATAACTCCTGGCAATAATGAATCTTGACTCAGGCTTCTATAAAATAAGGAAACATCAAGCTTTACACACAGATGCACGCTTTCCCCTCTAAAATAGTGCAACACTTTTTTACCTTTGTCAAAACAATGCTGAATTCAATAAAATGCACAGAATTAATTAAAAACATAGAATCTTACATTACATAGTTTAAAAACGAAATAAAATCCAACATAACCCTCTCCGTGTGTGAGCTTGGAACAAGGCAGAGAGAGCCAAGTCCCTCACAGAGGTGACCTCACTGTCTCTATTTTTTTTTTCATTTAGCTCTGCAAAAAGACTTGTATGTTGTTTGCAGAGGGAAGAGAATTATTCACAGGTTCCTTACCTCTGCTGCTGGCATACAGGATCACCAGGGCGACCACTGCACAAGTCATGAGGAGCAGCAAGACAGACAGACCAATTGCCACAAAGCTCCAGGATTTCTTCCCAGATTTTGTTGATTTTTCCACAATATCCATTTGACTTTCTGATTTCCCCATTATTGTAACTCTAAATTGAGGAGGGGAGGGTAAAAAAGAATTAACAGCACAGCTAAATCAATATAGGGATAAATGCATGACAAATCAGGGAGAAAAAGGAAGCAGAATAAAAGCAAAGATAGGTAAAGAAAACTTCCAAATTATTACATGTATTTGTCCATTTGATTGTCCACAGATTTGCCAACCTCATTCTCCATCTCCTGTGTCTACCAGATTGTCTGCACTCAGGGTGTGCTGCTGGGGGGCTGTTCTGGACTACGCTACCCTAGGCTCTCAGTGGTGCGGTGTCACAACTTCAGGAGCCTGCTTTGGGGAAGTATGGAAAAGTCTCATGACCAGGTTGGTCAACTCCTTTCTCCCAAACAGGAAAGGAGGGGAAAAACTGCCTCCTTCCACTCCCCACTTCGAAAGTGTCTTGCTGTTTCAAAGAATTTTCCTCTTTTTCCTCCGTGGATATGAGTAGGTCTGCAGAGCTCGGTTAACAGCAGCAGAATCAAAAAAGAGATCCTTCCAGGTGTGAGTGCCTTTGAGCTGTGTCTGCTCCGTCCTTAGCAGAGATGAAGGGTTTGGAAAGTAGAAGGCTCCTAGAACACGTGTCAGCTCCCAGGTCTGCAGGAGTTTGCGACCTCCAGCTTCTCAGCCTTCTCGGAGCCATGCTCAAACTTCAGAGCTCAGCCGTGTGCGGTTCCCAGCTCCAGGCAAATGCTCCTGAGCAGGAGGGGGAGGAGGGCTTGCATCACAGCAGCAGGCAGGGCTGTGCTCTTGGAGCCTGTGAGCAGCACACGCTCCACTCTGCTGCAGCTTCTCCTAAGTTTCCTCTAGCTTTCCTGAAATCTGCCGCCAGGTTATTTGGCTGCTGCGCTTGCAGGAGCAGCGTGAAGTCAGAGAGGTGCAAACCTATTGAAACCCTCTGGCTCCGAGAGTGCTGGCGGCTTTTGGGTGCAATATACGGAAACAGCTTCTTGTTTGGAAACACACTGATTTATAGATTGTTGCAGGCTATGCACAGAATTCTTCTACGCTACTGCTTGGAAATCTACCTGGTAACAACTGGGAAAGACAGTACAAACAAGGGCAGGACAGGCATGTGATTTCGCTTGGTTTCTATTTTATTCTTTTCCAGAACTGACTTTGGAATGAGGGAGAAGCAGGGTGGGGTTTTTGGTTGTGTTTTGTTTTGTTTTTCTCCCCCGCAGGCTGGTTTATTGAGCTAGCGTAACTTGCTGCCGAAGTTCACGCTGTATAAATTTTAAGGCTGGTACCTCTCGACCTGAGTGCTTCACCAGCATCCCAAGTTTTGTGTGTATTCAGGAGGAAGTGCTGAGGGCAGAGCAGGGATTTCTTTGCGGCAGTCCTGTTTACTGGGAACGTACATGCAGAATGTTCCAAGAATGTGAACACAGACCTGTTTTTGTGAATGGGGTAGGAAACAATGAATGCCAGTTTCTTCTGCCAGGAGTCTAAGCCTCCTCTTCTAGTCAGTGCTCTGCCTCAAAACCCCTATGAGAATTGGCCTTTTTTTTCAGTCATGTTATCTTAGGCTTCTGTCAAGTGTGAAGGCAGCTGTTCTCATCCCACCACGTGAAGAGGAGTATAAGACCACAAAGATCTGAAAGAAGTTGACGCACTTGCAGATCCTGGGTGTCCATATGTGAAAACTAGCTACAGAAGGGAAGGTTGCCTATAGGGACAAAGCTATACATTAATGATGAGTTAAGTGATCTTTTATTTCTGTTTGCAGGAAGTTCTACATCTAACAAAAGATTAGTTTCCTATGTATGTGAATCCTCCTTATTGCTGAACAGTTTTATTGTTACCTTACAATGTAGCTGGCTCTGAGGAAGGTCTACCTAGTTAAGGTCCATAATATTGCAACAGGCAAGCGCCTCGCAGGATTTAATGTAGTTATTCTTGTAACATCGCTATAAGATACTGAAGGGCGTTATTTTGCCCATTTCACAGGTGGAAAATCAAGATGCCAAGAATCTAAGGGGTTTATTCCTACTGCTTTCTATGCATGCCTATTGTAGCCATTGTGACTAACGTGGTCTCTTGAGGCTGGGAATGCCATGAGTGATTCAGACTGCCTGCTACTCAGGGTGCAGACCCTAGCCCCCCGTGTGATCGAGAGAGAGGACTTACAAAGTCCTAAGTAACATCTGTAAGAAATGATTTGAGCATGGCCCAAAGTGACTTAACTGAGGTCGTACATGAGCACCAAGAAAGTAGATCTCTTATGTCCCCAGAAAATTCATAGATTCCCTCATAAAAACATTAGCCTAATCATAAAGAAAATAACTTTTTTAATTTTGGGAGGAAGTGGGAACTATATCAAGAATCTTTTCCTGTATCTCTAATGGCTTTGCTTCCTTGTAGAGCTGAGGAAAAGGTATGCTGTTTCCAATAGGAAGTACAAGGAACTTTGGGTGTAGCAATGGCATTGGTTTGCATTTTCTAAAGGTTATGTTAGGCCAATCTGAACATTAGATGGGAAAGTCAGTAGCGACAAAGATTTTGTATTTCTTCTACTCTTGCAGTTTAGCTCTGAAATGAACTGCTTAGTATTTGTAATGAAAATACTTCCATTGTCACTTCTCAGACAGGTATCAGTGACAAATGGTTTAGGTATTGCTGAGCCTGTTTGGGTTAGAGAATGTCGGAAAAGGGAGAAAATGGATTAGTAAGTTTATCACATTCCTTCAGGTCCTTCAGGTCCTATTTTAAATATTTTTTTTTTTACCTGTTTTTCTACACTAAGTCAGCGTCTGGGTGAGCAATAGCAGTGCACAACCCAAAGCAGTCATCCAGAAGTTTGCAGCTGTTGCAGAGAAGTAAAGGAAGTGCCTGACTATTAATACCATTTTCTGTTGGGAAAAGTTGTTTTTATCCTCTTAAGATTCAAATTTAGACTGACTGGCAAACACAACATATAATTTAAGTGTCTTAGGTATATATACATTGTCTTTCCCAAGCAAGTATAACCATGTCAATTGGAAGGCCATAGGATGTGCCTGGCAGTGAGGCAGAGCTAATACAGGCTCTGAATTCAATCAGAGCAGCCTGTAGGCTTAGGAGCAATTGTTGCAACTAATGAACATCCCATCAGTGTGTGCTTTCAGATAATTAAATGATTATCTGCTTTCTGTATATTCTGTATAAAATCCCATGTGCTGGACCTAAAGAAGCTGAAATTGGTCATTGTTCTTAAGGTATCGGTGAAATAGACCACTGAGCACTCTTGCTGCTGAAATACACTGGGGAAAATTTGATGTGGACATTCCTGAAGAGAATCCTTTCATACCTTTTAACTCAGAAGGAAATATTTTTTTCTTTTACTTGATGCATCTATTGGCAAATCCCCCCCCCCCTAAGGAGGGGCAAGCAGACCTAATATTAAAGGCAGTCAAGGGAGCTGTAATTATGTAGGCGAGAGCAGAATTATGCACTTAGTATAGACATGCTAAGGGTGGGAAGACTTGAATATTTTTTGTAAAGGACTTTTATGGGTGTGATAGGATCTTGTGACATGATACATTTCTGGTTTGTGCTGAAGTTTGTGAGGGGAGACATGAGCTATAAAATAGGCATTGGTAGACACAGAGATAGCAATACTAGACAGTATGATTTTGATTTAAGAATGATGTATTTTGTTTTTTTAGATGTTTCTCTTCATGATGGGAAATCTGGTAACAAGTATTTAAATTGCTGTGCTGTAACAAACAAAAAAAAAAACAAAAAAACCCAACAAAAAAAAAAAACCCAACCAAAAAAGCGCTCCTCTTCTGTATGAGGAGAAGCACCAGCATCTGTAAAGGACATATTTGCAGAATCATTAATTTTGATTGTCTTGAGCAACTTTGTGTGGTCACTGAAATAGAGTAATCCGTCATTTTGACAGTTCTCCTCTAGTGCAGTGAGGTCCCCGTTCTGTTCATTGCTTCTAAGGGGAAAGACCTATTCTGGTTCCTGACACAGTCTCAGTTTTGCCTTGTAGCCTTTATGGCAAAGGAGATCTGATGATGCGAAGTGGAAGTGTTTTGTTCC